AAAAAAAAAAAATTTAATTAAAAATATTTTTAATTAATATATTGGATATTTATATGTTATATATTTATATGTTATATATTTATATGTTTATATATTATTATATATATAAGTATATATATATATGTACATAGAGAGAGTGTGTGCCAGGTGCCTGTGACTCATGCCTGTAATCCTAGCTACTCAGGAGGCTGAGATCTCAGGATCTCAGTTCAAAGCCAGCCCAGGCAGAAAAGTCTGTGAGACTCTTATCACCTATTAACCACCAGAAAACCGGAAGTGGCACTGTGGCTCATGTGGTAGAGCGCTCACCTTGAGCTGAAGCTGAGGGACAGCACCCAGGCCCAGAGTTCAAGCCCCAAGACCAACAACAACAACAAAAAATCTGTCTGTCTGTCTGTCTGTCTATGTGTGTCTATATCTATATTTACTAAGTCTGAACTAGGCCTATGCAAATATATAAAGAGCATTTATGCTTTAGAAGATGATGTATTTTTAAAGCATTTTTTGGAAGGTGGACCTAGGCCAATAATTGTTTTCTTTAATCACCCATGTTTTAAAATTTAATTTTACAAGAGCCAAGCAAAATTTTTTCTTTGAAAATACCAAGGAAAATCTCAAAGGAACACTGGTCTGATTTTATATATTAATGCAAATCATTTGCCATACTGACTCACACATCATAAACGCAATAAATATGAGCTTTTCTTACCACATGGAAATTGAAATCAATGAAACTGGTTGGTTTTCTTTTTTTTAATCAAAAAGTTTTATTGGGCAACTGAAATTGAGAACAAGAAATGCCTCAGTTAAAACGGAAATCATTTCTATAAACTTTCAATAGATCTAAACAGGGGGTTGTAAATAGGAATCGGTAATGTGTATAATGTGTAATCTGACCTGTCACATTCATCCCAAGAATGCTGTAATTGGAATATAATTTTTGATGTGTTTTTTAAACATTTCCCGCTTCTGTCATATAATCTCCAGCCTGTTGGAAACACTTTTCTTGTGGCCTTTGTGTTCAGGATGTGAAACTCATCATCACTGAGCAAGGTTCAGATGTAAACATCAAAAATTGCTTCTTTTCTGCCATTGATGTATTTCATTACGTCATTGAGTGATTCACTTTAATAAGCTCTTTTTGTTGTTGTTGTTTCCTTTTGATCCAAACTGAGCGCCTTTGGATGGTAAAGCAATCTGAGCCTTTTCCAGACTGGTCATCTGGAATACTGTGGAACTGTAAAACTCACTAGGCTGGGATTTTTCTGTGGCCAGCAACTGTGGTGCACTCGAGATTTAAGAATAACCTGCCTAAGGCTGATTTCCAGCATGGGTAGTTACTAGAGCTCTTCAGGGCATTCATTCCACCAGTAAATGGAGAAGTGGATTTCTTACTTATTTCCACTCATTTGAATAGTTGAACAGCCTGCTGAATGGTCTGACCGTGGCATGATTTTTATCTGCTCATCCAAGACCTTCACCTTCACTTTGTTGGCATGAATTGTCTGCTTTTTCCTGTTTTCCCTCCTTGTTTCCATCTCTGTGAACACACTGCTTTCACACTTGACGTCTGGGCCTTTTTATAAACCACATGACATCTGGAGTCATCAGACAAAAGTATCTTCTTTTCTTGAAATGATACGTAGTGGTTTGTCTCAGTGGATCCTCCCACAACAGACAGTGCTGGCTGCTCTAGCCCAGCTCCTGCCATTCCCTGCTTAGACACTTGCTGCAAGCCTCTTCCTCCAAACCTCATCTCACGTCCCCATTTTCTAGTTTTACCTATTCCTAAGTCCACTGAAACTTGATCTGAAAGTCTTCTGCCTAGGGCAGACTCTGGACTGCTTATGTCACTCATCAGATTTTTAAAGGCAAAGAATAAGAATGTTTCTTGCTTTCAACCAATAGTTTTTGTAGTATTTATGTGTATGCATGTATGTGTGCTTGTGTGCATGCGTGTGTCTGTGTGTATGTGTGAGTGTGTGTTAGTAAATGCTTATTGTAAGTGCAGAGCAAGGGTTAGGTTAGTAACTTCATTCATTGTTGAGTCTTGTCTCCCCAGCTCCCAGCAGCCCTCCATTTACAACATGCCTTAAATATAACTGCTGCTCAGCCAGGTGCTGGTGGCTCACGCCTGTAATCCTAGCTACTCAGGAGGCTGAGATCTGAGGATCTCAGTTCAAAGCCAGCCCGGGCAAGAACGTCTGTGAGACTCTTATCTCCAATTAACCACTCAGAAAACCAAAAGTAGTGCTGTGGCTCAAGTGGTAAAGTGCCAGCCTTGAGTTGAAGAGCTAAGGGACAGCACCCTTGAGCCTAGAGTTTAAGCCCCATGACTAACATAAATAAATAAATAAATAAACTGCTGCTCAATAAACTATGAAATGAATGAATGATACAGAAATAATTTCACCTAAGTTGACTTTTTTTTTGTCAGTCCTGGGGCTTGAACTCAGGGCCTGAGCTTCATTTTGCTCAAGGCTAGTGCTCTACCACTTGAGCCACAGCCACCTCCAGCTTTGTCTATTTATTTCTTGCTGAGGAATTGAACCCAGGGATTTGTGCATGCTAGGCAAGCACTCTGCCACTGAGCCACATTCCCAGCCCCTCAGTTCACTTTTTTACATGTCCACATGAGCCTTATTAACATGTACATGTCATTCTCTGTCAAATATTGTATTTAAAAATAATCATAAAGCAAACCAAGGACTGGGCTTGAATAGAATATAGTCAAATCCAGTTCCTGTGTCTCAACTATCCCCACCTATGACATCCTATGGAAATTTTTATTTCTAAACCAACTGGCTAGTGAGGTTGAAGAGTACATTTAAGACATAGTTGGAGGGCAGTTTCCTACTTTAATCCCATATTCACTTTCACTTGGGGGAAGGGAGGATTATAAACATGCACTGTTTTATTTCAGTTGCTTGGAGCATTATCCTCTAAAATGTTTAACTTACGATTGTCTTCCAGCAGTTCCCTTGCCACTTAAATGTTATAAAAATTCCTGGAGATTTCACAGTTCTAAAACCTGTTTTTAAAATATATGGGGGGGAAAGGGAGAGAATTCTTAGTTGTCTAGTTGTCTATCAAATGAAACCTCTTATTTTCATCAATAAACTAGCCTTTCAGGAGAATGTCCTTTCTTCCTTTCCATTCCCTCTCTGTGAAAAAGGAAATCTGGTCTACATTGTCAAGTGGATTATCTAACCACTTTTCATTAAAATACTGAAAAAAAAAGTAACCAGTTAATACAAGCAACTTCCTTTTATTTATAAGTTTACTACAGCCTTTTTGCCATGTTTATGGAAGGGAAATTAGACACTTAATCCTTTTCTTCTTCTAATGGAAAGAACTTGGAAGTAGAATTTGAGGAATCACCAAATTCACTTAGCTTCAAGTTGCTGCCATTCCCTCATATATTAAATGGAAATAGTATTATCATCCCACATCACAGGAGATTTGAGGCATAAATAAGATGAAAGAAGGAATTTTTGTGAGATCAAATTGTTTTTATGAATTCAAAGGCCTTGCTGTGCAAAATATTGCATACCTAGTTGATTAGTGTTGCTAATCTTCAGGCTAAAGGGTATTGCTATTAGCCACATTTATTCTTCTCTCCATTTGGAACTCATTTGAATGTTAATAATTGGGAAGAGGAGTATCATTCTACAGAAAGACAGTACTTAGTGTCCTTTTTCTTTATTTAGTTTTGTTTGACCTTTTCCTTGGGTAATAGCAATTACAGATGTCAAAAGAAATTCACATATGTATGTCTTTCCTCAAGCTAATTTACTATTTCCTTCTGTGTTTTAACCATTCCATAGGATTTTTCTTTCATTTTGATGTTTGACTGCTGGCCTATTTAAAAATACTCTGTTTGAGATCTGTTCATTCATGGACCTATGCATCAGTCACTATGGCCAGGCACTAAGTCAACTTAGATCTAAGAATCAGTTCCCATTCAGCTGGTTATCTGCTAGAAGAACAGACACAAGGTGCACAGGAAAGATAAGTGGGCAATTACAAAGGGAAGCTATACCAGACATGGCCAACACATGATGCTGTACAATCAGATGTGTGCGGGAGGTGGGTAGATGTCAAGCTTTCTTTGACAATGGCAAAGACATTCAAGCCAGGACCCATAGCAAAAGAAGCTGTCAATTGTGGAATGAGAGGAAATGAGGGAGGGAAACAAGTGTGGGAGCCCAGGGCCCGAGGCTCTGTCTGTCTCTAAAGGAGATTGATGAGTAGCTTCTGCACTCCAGAACAAGGAAGCAGACCCAGAAGCTCACTGAGCATTTGTACAGATGAGGCAAGCGGAGGAAAACCCCGGGCTGGGCCTTCCTCCTGTGATGATCACTATTTTCCCAGCCGTCTCAAATAACTTTCCTCCTTCTCTTTTTCTGCCTATCATGTTCATTGTATAGAAAGAGCTAGAAGGAGCTCGACAGTCTAGGCCTTTTGTTGGCATGATTTCAGAGCTAAGCAGCGGCCCACACTGCCACCTCGATCATCTTTCCTTGCCTCTTCCCTGTCTGCTGCTTTGGAAAGCAATTGGCTTCAGAGATGAAGTCATTCTTCATGAAATCTGGGTGGAACACAAGTGCCTTTTCAAAGACCAGAGTCTGTCTCAAGACTTTCTCCCAGCATTTACATGCATCCCGATCACCCAGAAGTCATCCATCATCCTGTACCTTTTAGGGACCAAGTCACAATGAAAGAAGTGTACAGCTGGAGAAAGCTAGCAGTCCTAACTGGAGCAGTGCTTCATGGGGGAAATGAACAGATCTGCTGTCTGGCCTGGCCCAAGCTGACCTCATTAACTCTTTGACTTTATCTATTGAACCTCGATTTTCTAAAGACCACCAGGGTCAAAGCACTCCCTGGAAGTGGTAGCCAGTAATCAATGAATCAATTCTAGAAATAGAGAACACAGAAAATTCCCACTCCCTAAATGATAACATACTGCTTTGGAACACATTTTTGTATTTGGTTAAGGGAAGAGATTTTTGTTCGCCTAGAAATATTCAGGAATACAGTCCTTGTGTATTTTGCATTCAAAGTAAACCCTTTAGTTTGATGAAGTACATTGTTATCTTTCAAATGGCTACCATTTTCGCAGCTGACATATTGGTACAAAGCCATTTACAGAGCCTAGGTAAGGCCCACTAGTCACAGGGTCCCTTAAAGTATCCACTGTGGTGAAATCCCCCTGGGTGTTTGTGGATGTTTTCTATACCTATAACTTGTGGCCTAATCTCTCTGGGGTTTCTTTGTAGGGTGACCCCGGATCATCTGCTGCAGGAATTAAGGTAACAGCAACTTGTGTTACAGAAGTTACAGTTTTGATTTTGTGGGTCTCTTCCCTTTGCCAATGCTAGAAGTTATTTTAGCCCTGTTCCTGTTCTCTGATATTTGCCTTCCAAACCCAACAAGGTTATCTAGAATACAAATAAAGCTTTAAAAAAAAAAAGAAAGAAAAAAGCTGGGTGCTGGTGGCTCACACCTGTAATCCTAGCTACTCAGGAGGCTGAGATCTGAGGGTCATACTTCAAAGCCAGCCCAGGCAGGAAAGTCAGTGGTACTCTTACCTTCAATTAACCGCCAGAAAATTGGGAAGTGGAGCTGTAGCTCAAAGTAGTAGAGCACTAGCCTTGAGCAGAAAAGTACTGACAGCACAGGCCCTCAGTTGAGCCCCATGACTGACCAAAAAGAAAAAAAAAGGGGCTTGCCTTCTCTTCCCTATTTCATAGATTTCATAAAAATGTGAATTTGCACATGAGATATAGATTTAGTCACAGCAATAAACTGCCCTATGTCTAGCGAGATGCAGAGTAAGAAGAGGGAGGTGAATAAATTGCATGGGATTTAGAGGGCGGCGGGGCCATCTCCGTGGAACTGCTCAGGGATCCCCAGGGTGGGAATGGGAGGAAAAACTCTTTTGAGGTTACTTTTCTCATCTTTGGTTTTCTTTTGCCAGGGAGAACCAGGAGAGTCTGGCCGTCCAGGGCAGAAGGTAATACCTCTGTCTCCAGTGTGTTCTTGATGCTGCATCAGATCCCCCATTTAATACCTACAGTCTACTAGGCCCATGAAAATGATTCTCAGTGTTGTCATCTTCCTGCTTTGCGTATTGGCTATTATTGGTTGTTTTGCATTTTAAAAGGTCTTGATGCTGGCTTGTAGCAAAATAGGAAAGCAAACGCTGTCCATGTAAAAGGATGCTTTAGGAACTAAAATCTGCATATACTCAGCTGTGTGAGACTAACCAAGATGTTGGAATGCCAACAGTCTAATTTGCATGCTTTAAGGTAATCTGCATGCAGCTAACTTTTATGAAAAGAAACTAATATTACTACATTGTTCTGGTAGAAGATGATGGACAGACAGTTCTTTTAAAATTATGTTCCTTTATTCCTTTTACTTCCAATACCTTTCTTCTGATCATTTTTATGACTCTACCTGTGCTGTGTTATATTGCATAAACTAAATTTGTTAATGAACTAAATATCAATTCGAGATACTAGCCATAATAATTTAACCAACCTACAGAGGTATCAAGTGTGGTTATCATTTGTGTTTCACTTTGGGTAACACCTTAGAGGACGTGCAATGAATGTGGTTAGTACCTGTTCTCATCTCAGTCTGAGTCAGGAAGCAAATGTTAGTCGCTTATTGTCTGAGTATGTGGATATCAGTGCCCAGCACTGTCAAATTTCAGAAAACAGATGGATTATAGCTAACAAGGAAATGTGGATTCTGCATTAAGTTAAATCACTTACAATCATGGCTCTGCCATTGTCCAGCAGTGACTAGGTTATAGACAAATAGGAATAGACAGATGGAATTTCCGTCACTTGCACAGAGATTAAATCCCATTGTAGTAGTTTGGAACCTAAAGTTACGAGTTTTCTTTCATATTCTTTGAATTTGAAATGCTTCTTTTGCTAATTTATATTTATTATATATATTATTTGCTGATTTATATCCTTTTGCTTATTTAATACCTATGCATTCTTCTCATTTTTTTCAAAAAAAATTAAAATTAAGACACAGTTTGTTTTAGGAAAAGCTCTTAATCTCAGATATTATCTATTTTGAGGGGAGTGGTGGTCTCTTAGTCTTTAAAAATTAAAAACTATATTTAAGTTGTTCTCCAAATCTGTGAGTTTAGCAAATGTCCAGCTACAAGCCAGTTACAATGGTGCATGCCTAGAATCCTAGCCCTCGGGTGGCTGAGGATGGAAGATCAAGAGAACTGAATCTTAAATGGTTTAACAAAATCTTGCCTTAGATGGTTGTTGAGAAATGCAATTTAGATCAATTGTGACAGTTTCTCTGTTTATGCGGAGAAACATTGGATTTCCATTATGTTTCGCTATGCGTCAGTTTTAAATGCGATTGAAAGAAAGGATGGATTCATGTAAAAGCCCAGCACCCTCCTAGATTAACATGTGCCCTGAGATAAACAACATCATTCCCATTAATACTTAGGCTAGATTCTAGCCTTGAACACAATATTGTCTTCCCAAAGTTATGTGACTTTTTTTAATATTGAGGTTTGGCAGTACTTAGGCAAAATGGATTTTAAAACCCACAGAAAAAGTGAGGAACAGAGCCGGGGGGGAGGGGAGAGCAAGCTGCTTGCTTAGATTAGAAAATGACACGCTGAACTAAATGAACTGGATGCAGGGACTGTCTTCAAAGTCCTCCACCATATGTTCCTCTCCATTGCAGAACTGTTCCCTGGGCTCTCACACTCCTTTTCCGGGCTACATTCAACAGCTCCACATAGCACAAGCCACTGAAGAGCTTTCTACTATTTGATCTGCTCCAATAAAGTTTGCTATCTAGAATAGTGTTCATAACATAGGAATCCTTTGATTGAATTCTTATACCTTCCCCAGTAGTGTGATTGGCATGTGAGCTGGAGTATAGATACAGGCATGCATAGAGTGAGCGCATAGATTTATAAAAGAGATGCTGGGTTTCATTGTGTATTTCTTTCGTGGTGATCCACTTCTTTATAGTTACATATTATAAGTCGGGCACTCACGGCTCATTCCTGTAATCCTAGATAGGGGGCTGAAATTTGAGGATTGTGATCCTGCCAGCCCAGGCAGGAAAGTCTGTGAGATGCTTGTTTCCAATTATTTATCAAAAAAGATGGAAATGATGCTGTGGCTCCAATGGTAGAGCACCAGCCTTGAGCAAAAAAGCTAATGGAGTTAGGTGCCAGTGGTTCATGCCTGTGATTCTAGCTACTCAGGAGGTTGAGATCTGAGGATTGCAGTTCAAAGCCAGCCTGGGCAGAAAGTCTGTGGGACTCTTACCACTAATTAACCACCAGAAAAACTGGAAGTGATGCTGTGGCTCAAGTGGTAGAATGCTTGCCTTGAGCTGAAGAGTTGAGGGACAGTGCCCAGGCCCAGAGTTCAAGCCCACAACCAACAACAACAACAACAAAAAAGCTAAAGCTAAGGGACAGTGTACAGGCCCCTAGGTCAAGCCTGGGACTGACACACACACAAATAATAAATAATAATTGATTAATCATACATTTTAATTTTAAAGATATAAAATAACGTGACCTCCTTTCAAAAGGAACCCTCACAAGTAAACTTCCTCACTGGAAAGCAGGGCACTGTAACCCTGACAAACAATGAAACATGCAGTCCTGCTGGGTAGAGTCCCACAATGGAGAATGAGGAGGAGAAAGGCTCGCAATAACAGAATGAGAAGTGTGCTGTATTTGTGGGAGGTTTAATCTCTTGAACAAGTATTCTGTGAATAGAATAAAAAGCCAATTCTTAATGGTAACCTGGATCTGAATGGCTGGCTATGCAAGCACAAGACCTCAACTCTCCCAAGCCAAGGCTTAGACAAGATGGAAAAGTTATCTGAAAAACTTATCTCATAGTTGGAAGATAAGCTTTCATGATATACTATAGAGCATGGTAGAGGAAATGGCTTCCTATAAACATTGAGTTACTCTACCAAGGGTAACATTAAATATTACAATCTTTCATATGCCAGATACTATATGAATAAATTACAAATTTATGAAGGTCAAATTTATTTAAAAGTCAAGAATAGAATATAAATTTTTAAAATATTTTTTCACTAAAAAGACCTAGCACACATGCATGTATATGAATATGATTAGAAACAAAGGTAAATAGTAAAGATACCTGTATTTCATCTACATGATAAGAGGTTTCAGAATCAAATGGTTGCACATACCAGTAATACCAGCATTTAGGAGGTTGAGGCAAGAGAATAATGAGTTCCAGGTTCCAGGTCAGCCCAGGTTATATAGCGAATAAGACAAAAAAAAGTCCTCAGTGTCTTACACATTTTTCTTATTGTTAGAAAAGCATGACTAGATGTTTATGTATACATATATGTATAAGATCTCTTTCCTAAAAGTAGTCACATGATCCTTTTAATTGGCAGGAGGAAATGGAATGATGAAAATTCTTATTGGAAAGTAATGTGGCCTGTATATGTCCACCAGTAATTCAATGTCTCCAAAATAAGATTGGAGGGCTTTTCTAAAAAACAATGCCAAGTTTTATAAGTTGTATATTCTATTGCACAGTACTGTTTTTAAACAACCTTTTACTTTTCTGAAAGTAAAAGAACTTTCAGTGAAATATGTATATAAGCCCTTTCTACTGGATCTTCTTAGGTTTATTGATTAGAAGGTAAAAGGAAACAAAAGAAAATCAGATGTACCATGTTCTAATTGTGTGAAGCTTAATATACTTGGACAAGTAGTTTTTGAATGGAATAAGAAGCCATTTCTTAAAAATCATCCTTTTCCTCTGGCTTAATCTTGTTTTATTTCCAATGCAAGCATTCCTATATAGAATTTGGGACCAGATTGTTTTTCTTTTGCATTCCTGAAGTACCTTTAATGGCAATCCTCAAGCAAGACATTACTCTGTTTTTTCTTCATATAATCACACAATTTAATAAAAAGTATCTGGAATCATTATGTGCTAATACCAGAGAAAAGTATGGCTCTTCATAATCTGAAAATAATAGCACTAGTGGTGGGAAAATCTGGATATTTATGGTGACTTTCCTTGAGTTAAGGCTTATTGAGCCTTTAGACATACCATTTTATTGCTGTTTCCATGTCTTTCGGGATGGTAATCATCCCATCAACTGACTGTTAGGAAATAATGTGATCCTTTTATCTTCAAATGTTACACACACACACACACACACACACACACACACACACACACGCACGCACACACACGCACACACACACACGCACACACGCGCACATCTCCAACTCAAGACAGACTTATTTTTTCCTGAAATTTCTTTAGTGGAATTCAGGAGATTTTTCTAAGTAATGTAACCTGCTGTCACCATACTTTGTGCTTAAAATAATGTAACCAGTTCTGTGAAAGTAAGGATTTAGCCTGACTCCAGGGTGTACCACTTAATCTCAAACCTGTATTCTGGAACAGCTGCATAGTACCATTAGGCGTAAGCTGCTAAGCAGGGCTGACCTAACACAACAATTGTCAGAAATATAGGCCAGAATTAAGTATACAATTAACCATTTATTTATCTTTTCATCATTCAGGAATGGAAAGGAAATCTTACTTCACTCTTAAGTGAGCAATACTGCTAATGCATCTTGGTGTTTTTTGTTGTTGTTGTTTTGTAATGTCACCATCTGTTCTACAGCCAACTCTTGATTGTCTGAGGTGAGAGAGAGTTCTGGCGTAGTCAGATGCATTATTAAAATGCATACAGAATCCTCATTTCAGCAAATAGCTCCAACGAGTCATTTACCAAAAGAATGCGAAAATACACACGTTCCTTCTCCTTTCACGCCTCTGCCTTGCTTCTGATGAGAAGCCAATGGGCAGTGAATTGGAGGAAGAGGAGAAATGTGCCAAATGGTCAACCAATTCCCGAATCAAGAGTTGCCTGAGCACAACCTTGAATCAATTAGACCGTCGTTTGTATATATTTATATACAAAGAAAGCATTCAGCGAGGAGCATTTTTCTTTCTCCATGTTTTTTTCTCCAGATACTGTGACTGAGTGACTATCATTCTATAATGCTATGTGATTTTCCTATGTAGGGTGAACCAGGCCTTCCTGGGCTCCCTGGACTTCCGGGAATAAAGGTAAATACTACGCTCACAGTCTTGGTTTCATAGAGCTGTCATTAGGAGAGAGTCGGCAGAGAGGGGGAAAATGAAAAGTAGGAGGATGATGCTGATCAGTGTAGAGCCCTCGGCCATCTCAACTCATGAAACTTAGTTAAAATGGGGCACAAGTACGAAAAGTTTCCTCTTGCCCACTGGACAAAACATCTCTATCATTTTAACCTATTGTACTCCTTAAGTACATGTAAATACCCCTCTACCAGAAACCATGTGAATGTTGTCCAAGTCTGGAATATCTCTTACCTTCAAATTTTTAATGTTATCCCTCAGACCCTATCAGGTTTTGACCAGAATTAGTCTTACTGTCCCTATTAATCAAACATTAATTAAACATTTGATTCACCCTTACAATAATCCCTCAAAAACATTTGTATTTCCACTGCCAAAAGTACAAATCATATTACTAATTTGACTCAATACATACAATGTCCCCCCTAAACTTTCTATTCATCTTCTGGGGGAAAATAATACTCAAGGAATTGTATTAAAACATTGTTTTCAGCCGGGCGATCCTGGTTCATGCCTGTAATCCTAGCTACTCAGAAGGCTGAGATCTGAGGATTGCGATTCAAAGCCAGCCCAGACAGGAAAGTCCATGAGACTCTTATCTCCAATTAACCACCAGAAAACTAGAAGTGGTGATGTGGCTCAAGTGCTAAAGTGCTTGCCTTGAGCTGAGGGACAGCGCCCAGGCCTAGAGTTCAAGCCCCACCACCAACCAAAAACACACACACACACACACAAAACATTGTTTTAAATGTTTCTAATTACTTGAAATGTTAAGAATCTTTTTTAACTAGTTCTTTTTTGTTTACTTCACAACTGATAAGACTTAAGATCCAACTTCCCTAGCTGTAATTATTCATTTAATATCAGTCTCCTATTTTTAAAATAAATATATGGACATATTAAAAAAAACTTTACATATTCTACAACTATTTGAAAGGGTAACATAATTCTAACAAAGCTTAACATCAGTCTCCAGTGGGCATGAGTCCAATCTAAAACTGAAAAAGTAATCTAAAATTAAAACTCCTACCTCCAGTGTAAGCATTCTGTATGCTATCTTATGAAGATTCATGGTTTTAAAGTCAAAATATTATTAAATTATTGAGTTTCAGATATTAGATGGTATCATACATCAGATTTTATGAATATCTTTGGTATGATTCATACACATGAACACTTTTTTTTTTCTTTTTGTCAGTCATGGGGCCTGAACTCTGGGCCTGGGTGCTGTTCCTCAGCTCTTCAGCTCAAGGCTAGCGCTCTACCACCTGAGCCACAGCGCCACTTCCAGCTTTTTCTGCTTATGTGGTGCTGAGGAATCGAACCCAGGGCCTCATGCATGCAAGGCAAGCACTCTACCACTGAGCCACCTTCCAGCCGCACACGAACACTTTTTTAGGTTGACACTCAGGAATTTTGGTGCTGGCTCTTTGATGTTTCTAGATTAGTATCAAAATTTAACTAAGTTCTTTTAATGTATTGTTTACAGCGAGTCTGCTCTATGACCCAATTCACTACAGAGTCAAAGCCTCTTCTTCTCTTTTGATATGTGTCAAGAATAACATCATAAATTAATATGTGATTGTACATGATAGGGTTAATTTATGCTCATTCCATAGGAACTTCTACATATTAAAAATGACAATGGGTTTTTTTTATAAATAACTAGATGACCATAAATTTGTAGATGATGTAAGAAAGTGACATGGAGTGTTAATTAAAAAGAACCCGATGGCGGTATAAATCAGTAAGAAGGCATTTGAAAGGAAGGGTTTGGGGAAGGGCCAGGGTGGAATCCTTTGCCAGTTCTCTCATTAGCAGGGCTGTGCTGCAGCGTGTACGCAGTTCACGGGCGCCGCAGGCTCTGGAATCTGGTGGTTCCTTCTGAGTGGTAGGCACTTCCTGAGAGAGTGAGCACATGAAAATGTATACAGTCATTTGCCCAGAGCAAAACAAATAAGATGTTGACTCCTGAAATTTATCACGATCTTATTTTAATGTTGTATTTTCACCATGGCAAACATCCCACTGGACCCTTGACAACTCCTTAATCATCTTGGACTAGTCTGAAAGTTTTGAACTTTCTCGTTTTCTTCTCTTTTTTTGTTCCAAGACTGGGACTCGAACTTAGTACCAGATCCTTTGCTCACTGGCTGGTGCTTTACCAACCACTGAACTTTCTCTACTTGAGACTCTTACTAGTGATTTGCCGCCTCCACTAAATGCTTTCATTCCTGTAGCCCTAGGAAACTGCTAGACTGACTTTGTTAAGGTCAAGTATCTCTGACTTAACCTGTGGTTATAGTGAGAAGAAATTATTAATTTGCAAAGAAACCTCTTCATCATCCATTAAACATACCTTCTTATATAATGCTCAAGTACCTTTGGATAGCAGTATTTGATTTAAATCACAAGTTCTACTTTTTAGCTTAATAAGCTTTGCCTTCTTTAATTCAACTGAGAGATAAGCTTTCCTTAAAATGTAGTGCTGAGTATAAATAAATTAGTTTGGCAAGGAGCCAACTGAAGAATGTACTACAAGAGAAGCATTAGTATTCACCTGCACATTCATGATAATAAATGGAGACTTAACATTTTTATTATTTTGCTGGGCGCTGGTAGCTGACACCTGTATTCCTAGCTATTCAGGAGGATGAGATCTTAGGGTCACAGGTCAGAGCCAGCCCAGGTAGGAAAGTCCATGAGACGCTTATCTCCAATAAACTACTCAAAAAGAGCAGGAAATGGCACTGTGGCTCAATTGGTAGAGCACTAGCCTTGAGCAAAAGAAACTCAGGGACAGCACCCAGGTCCCAGCCAGACTTCAAGTCCCAGGATTGGCAATATATATATATATATATATATATATATATATATAATTTTATGATAGATTCATTAACTTTGGGCCTTCTTCATTTCTTTAATGAATTCCTCTAATTCCTTCATTCCTTTCATTCCTTCCCTTAGCTAGCAAACTATAGGAAAGCCCCGACTCACAGTTTGAGCAAGTGGCAAGATTAAAAAGGATGAATGATTATGTGTGGCTGTAGAGTGTGGTGGGACCAGGAGCATTAGTCGTTCGCGTCCGAGACGTGTGTGTTTACTTACGCTTTGGAAATACTTCCTGTCGCCCTTCCTCTCCTCCTCATCTGGTGCTTACTACAAAAAGCATGAACATGCCATCCATTATTTCTAAGACATTGAGGAAAGCAGCCATGACATACCAGGGAAGCTTTGATTTGCCACCTGTTGCTCTCAGGGGAATGGGCGGAAACTTAATGAGTGTCCACATGCCTCCTATAGCCCTCAGGAAGTGAGCAAAGTCCCTAAATACAGACAGCAGACTCATCTATCTGTAGCTTCAGGGTCTCTGGGAAGAGTGCTAATATGGTCAGCATACGTAAATAAAAGTGGCCACGGGCAGGCAGAACTGACTTTCAAACTACTCCTGAGCTTCCTGCACAAGCATTTGAAAGTCTGCCCACCATGTGGAAGGCATTTGTGATTTTTCCTTTCAGGCCTTCATGGTTCCTGTAGTGTCAAGATGTTCAACTGGGAAAATTAAATTACGGACAATGTACCATGCAGAAATTGATCTTCTGGAAAATGATGGGAGCTCAGACAATTAAGTTTATGACCAAGTCATCAAATATTTTTTAATGGGTAAAAAGTTACTGCAGCTGATTTTTCTGCTATCATACGAAAGAATAGGATTCTGAGTTCCCAGCTTTTAAATTCGCTACATTTACTTTGGAAAAAAAAATTTAAGGGCCTTGCTTACCCGTTTTTTATGGTCACCTTATCCTAATAAGTAAGCAGTATCCACCAGGGACTACAGACCCACCCATGATTTTACCTCTTAACTGATGTCATGATTTGAGACAAGTTCCATTATCTGTTCTATTTCAGTTTTGTCACCAGTTAAAAGTCTTCACTAATCATAACACAAACAGTTGTGGTGAGAAATGAATTAATATGCCTATAACTCTTAAAGTATTCTCACACAGATAGTCAATGCTTCTTTCTTCTGGCTATTTTTACTTCCCTTGGGAAGCTCAGCCTATTGGAAACTCTGGTTCTGCAGCAATTGAATAATGGTCTTTTCCTCATGGGCACAAGTTTAACCTGTAAAACATAGCCACTTAGATGTTGTATTTTTCTTGATATGAATTGGGAGAGCCCCTTTGCAGTAATGGGTGAATGTTACCTTTAAGAACAGTATGAGAAGAAAAAGAGCAGTATGATCACCCCATTTTTCTTGCAACATGACATCACACCACTCCAATTTCCTGTCCAAGCCCCTTCCCCCACCCAGAAAACATGAGGTCCTTTCTCAAAAGTAACCAACATCTAAAACAGCGGAAGCAGCTAGGTGTGGGTGACTCAGGTTTGTAATTCTAGCTACTCAGAAGGGCAAGATCTGAGGATTGTAGTTCAAAGCTATCGTGGGCAAGAAAGTCTGTTAGACTCTTCAATTAACTCGCTAAAAACCAGAAGTGGAGCTGTGGCTCAATGTAGTAGAGTGCTAGCCTTAGCAAAAAAAGTCTCAGGGACAGTGCCCCGGACCCTGAGTTCAAGCCCCAGGATGGACCAAAAAGAGCTAGAGGAGAGGTATGACTGAGCAGAAAAACACCTGCCTAGCAAGTGTGAAATCCTGAGTTCAAACTGTAGGACTACCAAAAACAAAAATCACTTAAGTAGCAACCAAACTTTTACAGTAAATCTTTCTTCACAGCTTTTTTTTTTCTGTCCTGGCTCCCAAGACAGTGACACTTTATACCACATCACATGATATCTTCCTTGATACAGAAACATATGAAGACCAAGTCTGACAGGTGGCAGAAATATTTACTTTGGCATTCTTAGGAGTAAGAGCAGTACTGTAGCACAAATGTGTCTCCTAGATCCCACTACAGCTTAGCTCCTTCCTTAGACATCAAATCAACTTT